CTGTGACAGTTCATCACAATGACGTCTCTCCACCCAGTAGCAAGTGGAGACCTGTGACAGTTCATCACAGTGACGTCTCTCCACCCAGTAGCAAATGGAGACCTGTGACAGTTCATCACAATGACGTCTCTCCACCCAGTAGCAAATGGAGACCTGTGACAGTTCATCACAATGACATCTCTCCACCCAGTAGCAAATGGAGACCTGTGACAGTTCATCACAGTGACGTCTCTCCACCCAGTAGCAAATGGAGACCTGTGACAGTTCATCACAATGACATCTCTCCACCCAGTAGCAAATGGAGACCTGTGACAGTTCATCACAATGACATCTCTCCACCCAGTAGCAAATGGAGACCTGTGACACTTCATCACAATGACGTCTCTCCACCCAGTAGCAAATGGAGACCTGTGACAGTTCATCACAATGACGTCTCTCCACCCAGTAGCAAATGGAGACCTGTGACAGTTCATCACAATGACGTCTCTCCACCCAGTAGCAAATGGAGACCTGTGACAGTTCATCACAATGACGTCTCTCCACCCAGTAGCAAATGGAGACCTGTGACAGTTCATCACAATGACGTCCCTCCACCCAGTAGCAAATGGAGACCTGTGACAGTTCATCACGATGACATCTCTCCACCCAGTAGCAAATGGAGACCTGTGACAGTTCATCACAATGACATCTCTCCACGAAGTAGCAAATGCAGACCTGTGACAGTTCATCACAATGACGTCTCTCCACCCAGTAGCAAATGGAGACTTTTTGGAGAGAGAACATTAACAGCTTATCATTTTCTCTCCACCCATAAATAACACCGGCATGCCTTGTTTCCCCCTCTACCCCCAATATCAATTGGGCGTGTGAGCTCAATTAAGGTGTCAGTCTGTTCAATTGGCTTCCAAAATTTGGCACTCATGAGGAAAATCACTTGGGAAGATATGGTTTCTTGAATGAAATAAAACATATTATATTAGTTTTTAATATTTTTGGTAGGTTTTATATTGTGGTTTATGCAGTTGTTTGGTTTTGGTAAAACTGAATTTATCTATGTGTACCGGTATTAGTTTATTTTTTTTTTCCTTAAAAATCTTGCGACATGTAGGTGCCAAACTTTTGGCTTATTAATTAACTTTAACTTAGAAATATGTTCATGTCAATTTTGTCAGCAGCAGTTTTGATCATATTTTTATTGATCACTTGCAACTGAGAATGCTCTGTCTCCTTGGAATAGCCTCACATCAGGGTGTCAGCTCATTGAGCTGGCGGAGGTAGAGCCCCCAGGTCTGACAATGTTCAATTTTTGTTTTAAATTCCATTCGATGTTTGTGAAACATCATTTTTAATTTTGCCATTTTCAGTATGTACAAAAAAATCTATTGAAAAAATGTAATGAAGTAAAAAAAGATATTTCTCCAGATAATATTTTGTCTGGTTTAACTGTTCAGTTTACCTGTAAATGTGTTTTTTTTATTTCAAAGTTTGTAAAATTGCCAGAAGTTGGGAATCCTTTTCTCCTTGGAATAGCCTCACATCAGGGTGTCAGCTCTATCACAGAGCTGGCGGAGTTAGGGAATCCTATTTTAATAATTTGATTGAATTTGTTGATCAATTCTAATGAGGATATTTGTGTTTTTGCATGACGATGTTTAACCGAAGTGCTAAGTTGCTTAGCTCAGTTGTATAAAGTCTTCATTAGCTTTCATTAGTCTTCATTACCTTTTGAAAATGTCAATACTTAGTCAACGAACCACACAGCTGTGTTACGGAAGAATTCAAAATTAAACAGGCAGTAACTTGAGGTATACCTGGAGGTCTTGCAGGATTCCTTGGGGTTCAACCTCTAGATACCGCTTGTTTAATTTTGCATTCTTCCCTTAGATTTATGGCGATTCCAGTCCCACATTGATTTGCTTATCCTGAGAAAAAATTACCAAAACAAATAATGTATTAAATTCCAAGCCTTGTGTTTTGGGAATGAATTTCTGTTTGTGTTCGCTAAATAATTTGTCATCTTATGTGTAAAGCCAATTAGTTTGACTGGAATAGTCAAGTGTACAGAGATGTTGTTAGTGTGATGTGGTGTGGGGTGAATTTGTGGGCTTTTTTAGGGGGGAGGGGTGGTTGTTGGCATTTAACAGGGTTTCTAGTGTTTTTTTCAATGGGGGATGCTGATTATGCTTGGGAATAAACAGATAAAACTAATCATTATCACACTTTCCAAGCATCTCTGTCGACGATGTTTTACATGTATCTTGGTAAAAATATAATAATTTTCGAAGGAAATAATTTTCCTCAGTAACAATATATGGTCTGTTAGAGTATGTGTTAGGATGTTCATTCCAAGTGCATCATCATTGTCAATGAGCATAATTACCAGAATTGTGTTTCTCCATGCAGACGAAGAACTTGTGATTTATCAACTGCGATTTCGATGCTTGCAATCTCTTTAATTTGTTGCATTATAAAATGTCACTTATCGTGTGTCATTGTGTGTACATTGCAACACACAGAAGATAACTCTGTGCCCTTTTAATGATTGCTTACAGCAAAGCGGAGTGTGTTATCATTCAACTCACACTGTTTGTGATCCATGACAAAAAATTACAAATCCAACAACATACATACATACAACATGTACAATCACGCTACTAATACATAGTATGTTTACTTCTCAGGGAATTAAATCTCTCGGCAATGCAATGAGAGAGTCATGGTGGAGTCACTTGCAGTTTTCTTCTACTAACAAGTCTGGTCACCTTGAGGGCAGCACAGGTTGTCTTGCTCAACTTGACATCAAGAATCCAAAGTCCTTGTCTTATAGGCCTACTGGTTCTCTCTTTAGACGTGTATTTGTCTCTTCCCCTTCCAAGTAAGCTCATTTTCTGAAAAGACATATCCAAGTCTTTCTATATCCCCCTCTTCACTAAGACAGCAGAATAAGACCTCTAATAACTTTTGTCTCTATGACATACTCACATGCAAAGCTCAAATAATCTTTGGCCTTTTAATATGGTCTAATCCATGTCTACACTGTATTCAGAAGTCTCCTATTTTATTAAAATTGTCTTCATAAATTCATGAAAGAATTCAAGAATAAAGCCAAGAGGAAATGTCACATTGACTCATTTCTTGGTCCGTGAATTAGACAGGATATCATTGGGTGTTAAAGTGATTTACATAAGGCCTCATCAGCTCTGCCAACCTATTCTTTTAGATGCTGCGTTGTGATTCTCATAACCTGATTCTTTATAGTCTCCAAAACCAAATCTAGGACGAGCCCCTTAACTAATAATAATTGACAATCAATGCTGTTCCTACTGTATTGTTTACCATTTACACCAAGTGCACAAAATGGCGAAGTGATTTGAGTTTCAAGGTGCTAAGGGGTTGCTCCATGACTACTCATTTGCCCAACTGGATTGAAGCATTGATGTGAATTATTCACAGAGTTTAAACAAGAGATTTATACACATAATGTTTTGGGGGTTACTTTAGGTCAGATCAAGGGAAAAAAACTTATTAGAATCCATCTTTATAGAAATTGGTATTTTAAATGTAGAATTTCAAACGTTAATTAATTCATTGAAATTAACACATGGTACAATGGTTAAGAGTTCATTTTGAGTTAAATGTGGCAAATTTTAATATCCTTTGACCCACATAAATTCATGCATCATCTACTTTTAATATTCAGCTCTAGTTTTGAATTTAATAACTTTGAAAAGACATTTAATAGAGGAAATGGGGCCAATGATTTTCCGCGATCACGGAAAACGGACGGAATTCGCGGAATCTGCTCCTCGAAACGAATTTGAATCTGAACAAAATAACTTCTGCAATTTCATTGATAAAAAAAACACAATTTCATAAAATGTATCAAATACAAAAGGAATTGTTGATGATTGATTGAACAGACGAGCCATATAACAAATGAGCGATGTTTATATCACGATGTTGGTGGGGCAAAAACGTTCAAGATCAGAGCAATAAATGTTATGAGATCATTACCGTAGTACGCGTGGTCATGGGAGTGACAGTCCCGACGCAGGCCGTAGCTGTCGGCCAGCGCACGGGTGAAAATCATCACACTCACGGCATGCTCTTGCGGGTCTCTTTTGCTCCATCGGCAGGTTTACTTTTCTCTGTGCAATCAATCAACCATTCATATAACATCTAACTTTGGCTCTATTGAAATGCATGTCGTGCTTAGGTCCAAAAATCTACCGTAAACTATCCTATTTTTGTCGCTAACGTTAGTCCGAAAACAAAATGGCGGACAGGAATTTCGTTTCAGCCAGCTGATGTGTGTGACGTCATGGGATTGGCCTGTACAGCTATTGCATGTTTCTCACGTGTGTGGCAGTGGCAGTGCAGTATACGACTTGACTGTGGCGAAGTTAAATACTACGTCTGTACATTGATCGGCCGTTGATAAAATAGCAATCTTTTTGGGGGCAATTTTCCCGCGCTCCAACCAAACGACTATTTCATTATCGTCTTGGAATTATTTTCTGTGTACATGGTATAGGCCTAATGTACATAAAATGCCAATTTTTGTATTGAATAAATGTGAAACGGAATTTTTCAGCCTGAAACGGAATTTAGGATTTTTGCAAACGGAATTTGCACTTTTCTGAAACGGAAAATCATTGGCCCTAAGGAAAGTGTGGCTAGAAGTTTTTATATTCCTTCCTGTCAACTAAAACTGCATTAATTTGTGAAAGTACATGTACATGTAGGTATGCAACCACTCTGGCTTTGTAATGTTGCATTGATGGTGGTGCTGGGGTTTTTTTTTTGGGGGGGGGGGAGGGGAGGGGAGATGGGGGGTGGGGGATGGGAGAAGGGGGATGGGGATGGGGGTGTTAGATATTATTAGGCACAATGGCTGCCCAATCTTGATCATGTACTCTGCCATTTTATTGAACAGTTAATTTCAAAACTCATCCAAATTTCTTTCTTTCTTTTGTCTGCATGTTGACGATGAACTGCAGCTGTTGGGCATCCTGGGCAGACACCATGGCAACTGCTACTGATGACAGCTCTCTCCCTGATGATGTCTGGATCTGATGCCAACCTGTGGGACTTGCAGCATCAAGATATGGATGGAATCCTTCAGCTCAGGTAAATATCAGCATCCAGACTCAAACCTATCTGAAACAAATTATTTAAAACCCGCCAAGCACACAGTTATGCCCTTATTGAAAGCCAAATGTGTGGGTAGATGTCTCCATATTCAATCCTTCCTATTGATGAAAACTGGATTAATTTGTGAATTATACATGTATCTTTGGGTATGCAGCCACATGATTCGTAGCGTTGTATTTTATGGCAATGCTTGGGTTTTTTTGGGGGGGGGGGAGTGGGGAGGTGATATTGTTTAAGCCAGAGTCCATCATTTGAAGCTATCCAAAAAGTAACTGGCGTAATTATTGTTGAAAACATACTTGATTGAAAGATAGTAAGGGAACTAAACTCCATGTGAAATTATTCTTTCTGGCAAGCTTTCATTTTGAAGAAATCAACGAAAGAAGGCCTTTCCAATGGTGTGTCTTAAGAAGCACCGTAGGAAATTCAAATTAGTAGTTTGTTTTATTTGGCGAAGCGCGCGCAAGCATTGGCACGACACACACGTGCGCGCGGTTGCTATAATTCGTCGGATCAGTGCGCGACATTGCGTAGCTGCAATCGGCTTGATTTGAAATCGAGATCCTAGAATGTTGTTTTTCTCGAAAAAATGCAGCTGAAGCTAAGCTGAAACTTCATCAGATTGGTTGTTCAGCATCCTTCTTCAGATATTGAGCACTTTTGTTGCTCCAAACAAACAAAATGCACAAATTACAAATGATGGACTATACCTTTAAGCACAATGGCCGCCCACTCTTTATCATGTACTCTGCCGTTTCATTGAACAATTGTAATTTCAAAACTTATCCAGTTTTTGTTTTCTGTCTGTCTATCTTATGTCTGCATGTTGACAGCTCTCTCCCTGATGATGCCTGGGTCTCATGCCAACTTGTTGGAATTGCAGCATCAAGACATGGATGGAATCCTTCAGCTCAGGTAAATAACGGTAAATAGTTTGTGAATTGAACATGAACATGCGGGGATGCAACCACCCTGGCTTTGTAATGTTGCATTTATGGCGGTGCTGGGTTTTTATTACGGGTTGGGGGGTTGGGAATTGATTCTTTATCATGTACTCTGCCATTTCATTGAATAATTGTAATTTTAAAACTTATCCAGTTTTTGTTTTCTTTCTATCTTTTGTCTGCATGTTGACAGCTCTCTCCCTCATGATGTCTGGATCTGATGCCAACCTGTGGGACCCGTGGAATCCTTCAGCTCAGGTAAATATCAGCATCCAGACTGCAGACTCCAACCTGTCTTATAAAACAGAGTGTTAGAAACCGGCCAAGCACACGGTTATTCCCTTATTTAAAGTCAAATGTTTGGCTAGATGTTTCCATATAAAACTGAATTAATTTGTAAATTTTACATGCATACATACATGTAAGTATGCCACCACTCTGACTTTGTAATGTTGCATTTATGGAGGTACTTAGGTTTTTATTGGGGGGGGGGGTTGGGAGGTGATATTATTAGGCGCAATGGCCGCCCACTCTTTATCATGTACACTGCCGTTTCATTGAAAAATTGTAATTTCAAAACTCATCCAATTTTGGTTTTCTTTCTGTTTTTCTTTTGTCTGCATGTTGATGATGAACTGCAGCCGTTGGGCATCCTGGGCAGACACCATGGCAACTGCTACTGATGACAGCTCTCTCCCTGATGATGTCTGGATCTGATGCCAACCTGTGGGACTTGCAGCATCAAGACATGGATGGAATCATCTTAAGACTAAGGGCAAATCCATGGCAATAGGACACATAGATGGTTAATTACTACATGATTAATTTGTGTACGTTTGAAACACTGAAGTCAATGATTCGTGAGTGTTCAAACGGACTGATTCAATGACAGAAGCCTTGCTCAAAGTAAAAACAGGACTGGTATCAAATATCCTGTGAAATTACATGCTGTAATTTGTTTACATTTGCAAAGTGTCAATAACTTATTCTTAGTTTAATTAACAGCCATCCGTTCAAAATCGTTTGTTGTAATGAATAAATAAACAATTCAGTTCCAGCGATTTCAACTTAAAATCTACTCAATAGAAACAGACTTTATTGACAGTCTTGCCATGGATTTGCTCTACTTTAAACCAGGCACATATAACCGAAGACCCCCCCCCCCCAAAAAAGCTTGCAATTTAAACTTGCACATTAAGTTGTTGGGAATATTTTAAGTAACAAAACCATTTGTTGGTGCCTAATTTAAAAAAAACAAGCTATTGTAGTGCATTTACTATCCAAAAATCACCCTCCCCCAAGAACAAGGAAGACTCTTTTGCGCAGCGTATTGACCAAAACCTACATGCATTTACAGATATGTGCCTGGTTTCTATATAGTTTTTGAGTTGTTGAAAATGTATTTATAAGTATGTCTATACCACAGAGCTATTTTGCATTACGAGAGCGTTTACTCGGTACAAAGTGAAGCCTGCTGGGCACATCCATCAAACCTTAGAAAACTGGAAAGTTTGTACTGCTTTTAAACGGCTATTTGCATTTGCATTCTATACATCTGCATTATCCAAGACTACATGCCAAAACCGAAATGCACTATCAGTAAATGATTATTAAATTTTGCTCTGCGCAAACGACGCAAAGGCGTGTGCACATCAGCAGCTAATGATTCTTGCCTTGACGTTTTGTAACCGTCATGACACGCCTAAGTTCTTTGCGTATGTCGTACATGTGCGTTGCATTTAGAGTACACTTTCAAATTCACTCCGTCACATTTCTTTGTTCTACAAACTACAAATGTCTGCGCGCAGGACGGCTAGATAGAATCTGCATCAGAATGAGGAGTTAGCGCTCAAGTACTTTAATATAGCTCTGTGGTCTACACTAGCACATCATATGCACAAAATTATGGCCATATTAAAAAAGTGTTTTTCTGAATAGTTTTTGAGAGGATCTATATTCTGAAAAAAAAGTTCTGCCAATCGTAACTAGGTGTGATTAGGAAAGAAAACTTGTGTGTGGTTGCCAAACGGTCGGAGAACAGAATTTAAAATATAGTATTTATTATCGACTGCATGCAAACATAGTCATTACATTACATTTGTATTTGCTGACGTGAACAAAGTTTTTCGCGTGACATTTTATTTTACCTTATAAGGATGCCATTACTTCGGCCCATGAAAACTGCTTCATTAATGGTGCGTATCTGCCTAAAACTACTACAATTTTCACATATCGGCCATAATTTTATTTATATGATGTGCTAATGTAGTCCTTTCTATCTGACCTGAATAAAAAGTTTTGTTGCTTTGTTAGTGCCTTTCTTTATTTGTCTGTTGTCTACTCCAAGATATTGCAGCTCTAAGAAATGAACAAAAAGTAATCAAATCTGTCCAGTTATCCAGTAATGCCCCTCTAACTTTCATCTTAAAAAAAACAAACCCAAAACCCAACAACTTTGGCAATATAATACTTTTATGTCATGCTGATATGCAAAATGCTGCTTTGTTGGAGTAGGTAACAGACTTGGTAGTTCTTTTAGGAGATGGTTCAATCATTAATGGCCGTTTGAGGAATGGAGCTATGTTAAATCACTAGAGATAATTCTGTACGCAAAGCAGTATGTTTGCGCGTTTTGCAACTCTTGCATTTCTGTTCAAAACAAATGCGCATATGAAAATAAGCATTTTATTTCACTGCGCAAACACATCCACTTGCGATTTTAGCACTTGTGATAAAACCATGCCTAAGCAGCAGCACTTTTTGCGAAAACCTGCCAAAACATTATTCTATTTACATGCGCAAATGACTTGGTACTCTAGTTATTTAATATAGCTCTAATTTTCAAAATATTGAACTGATAGAGGGCGCTTTTCCCAAGTTAATGTCTTTAAATTGTTAATGTTTGAATATTGAGGGCGCTGTTTTGTAAAATACCAGAAACTAATAAAGTGCTAAAAACTAGTTGTTTCTTGAACTTGTATTTATTTTTATCTTTGGTGGTATATATACACAAGTAAAATTTTTAATTTTTTTTTTATTTGACCTTTGACCTAACCCTTACACTTTGACCTGACCTTTGACCTGACCCTTCAACTTTGACATAACCTTTGACCTGACCTTTCAACTTTGACCTGACCTTTGAACTTTGACCTTTCACCCGGCCAAAAAAAAAGCCCAGCCACACACAGGCCCCCCCGGTGCGCACACGCATGTCCCCGCCCACAGACACCAACAAGCAGCAGTCACCCAACTACCCACACCAACTTGTGACCAACTATTGATGAGTATACACAGCGCCCTCTAGATCTTGCAAGTTGTGCAATCATGGATAACCCAAGTAGAAAACAACATAATAAGGATCCTATTAAACTCTGACAATTGGTTCAATTTTCTACAAGGCAGATGGTACTTTGGGTTTTTGGTTATGACCGTTGCCACGGGAACCCACCATCCACTCTAAGAATGACAGTTTAAGAGAAACTTTGCATCTTTCCTTAATTGTCCCACTTAAACTTCAGACGTTCAGTTGCATTTTGTCTTTTAATCAAATTAAATGAATGATAAACAAATGGGTTGTGTTTTTGCAAGTATTCTTGGACATTCAACAGTGTCGGGAGATATCAGATCGATTATTTTAGCCTTCATTCACATTGATAACTTCCATTTAAAACTCTTCAATCTTTACGTTGTCTGTTTTACCTACATGTTCCCTAAATACATTTAAGCAGTGTGTTGATTTTCAGTACGCACAAGTACATGTATAACGTGCAATGGCAGTAAAAAACAACTGTTATTTCTCTCCGAATAATGTTGCAGCAAGCAACAGAGGCACCAATTTTGTTCAGTGGTAAGATTTCAGATATCCAGACTTGGGAATTTTACAGAAAAAGTGCAAGCATAATGGAAACGAGGCTTTGGGTAGCACACAAACTGACAATTTTTAGTTTATTTATTGTTGGCATTTAAGTCGACTAGTCACTGTGAAAACTTTCACATTTTTTGAAGTAGACATGTGCAAGTCCTTCATTTTGAATATAAATAGACTTCTGTTAGACACTGAGGGAAGCTGCAGCAATTAGGTTCAATTTATCCCGTTTTATCGAGAACATTCTCACGAATTGATCACAATTTCTGAAATGATAAGCATCCTGATTTTCAGGAAATTTGCTCTGCTTTTTCGGCCATGTTTATAAGTGCCATCAACATAAAATTTCTACATTTGGTAGAATTATCTTTTTAACCAAATTCCAAGAATGGAAATAAGTACCAGTATTTTTATACAATTCATTGCGTGGATCTTCACACAATGTTACTTTTTTAGATGTTTTTTCATTTCATTTCATTTCAAACCAAGAAAATTTATGTTTCTATTGATTGTTCAATAAAACGCAAAGAAAGTTTGCACGCAGAAGTTCTACAATAACAGGATTTTGTTCCTGCGGAACTTTCAAAATTATCTTCCTTAAGGGTGGAAGCCAAACTGTTTTTTTTGGCAAAAACTATTCGCGACTTTCTTCAAAGTCTCTCACATTTAAAGGAAATCGAACCACTTTCACAAGTTTATCTTTAACAGTGGGAAAAAGACCGTTTTTAGTTTGCTTTTTGTGCCCTGGGTGTGCCCTTCCGAAGAACCATACTGCTCAGTGACTCGGTGGATGATGCGGTAGCAATCTGCCCGTCAGCATCCGTAGAAACTGTGACATCCAATATGACACGGGGGAAGCCTGTCCCGTCGCCCATGCTAAGTTTAATTGAAGTTTTCATTAATTCATGCACTGTACAATTTTTTAAATACATCCTCATTGTTACTCATTAAACCCAACGATTCTCATGGCACAACTGCAGCCGATTTCACAAAACTTTACGCAGTGGTGTAAGTCCACTTGCGCCACAATTTATTGCCCAACTTGCGTAGGATTCCACACTACGCAACATTTCAGTTATTACAATTTAACAAAAGTTTCCTAGTGCATTTTATAACAGCAACTTGCACAACATTATGGCGTAACTTGAGCATTCATTTTAGGTGATGTAAGTTGTGTGGCGTAGGACACTACATATGATTGATTTTATCTACAAATCGTGATTGTCAAGCAAGTTATTGCACTCGCAGCTTTGTTTTTGAAGTAAATGAACACGTATTTTAAGTACCTGCAACTTCCAAACAAAGTCGAACAAACCGCCATGGGCCATATTTTCAAAATGGCAGGCGGAGTTGATCAAATGACTTTTTCAGGGATCAACAAAATCTTACACGAACAGCCGTCACAAATGCTGTTATTATCCTATTTAAATGTTGCGCATCTACGCCAAGTTGTGTGAAATTGATCGTAAGCTTCATGTGCATCTGCACAACAAATTTGTTGCGTAGGTCCTACGCATGGCGTAAGTTATTCACCGTTTCGTGAAATCGGCTGCCGGAGTAGGCGTGTCTGCATAAGGCAGGTAATGTACATGCTCACATGCAAACCTAGGCAGGTCCTGGGGAAAGCTTCATTTTAATGGGCAATACCCATGTCAATTCTTGAAATAAACTTTCCAAATTTTCATCAGTACATGTACATGTACATGTACATGTACATATTAAATTAGAACTGCCATGTCAAAGTTACGTATCATTCTGTGGTTTACACTAAATCAGTGACAGCATTCTTGATTATTAATTCAATTGTAAACAGGTGTTTTACTTCACCCAATATTTGATTTCACAAGGATGGAAGTATTGTTCACGTTCAAATATTCAGAGACTGTCACTTGAATGTGTACCCCAAAAAATATGTACACTTTTGTCGAAATGATGAAAGGCTAGTCAGAATTTTATATTTTGAAATTTTTAGTGACATGTAGCAAAACAAAGCATTTCACTTTCAAAGGTGAAATTGCAGAGTGCAAGAAACATTTGCTTTTAATGGCATTTTTTTGGGCCACTCGTTGAGCTCTCGCATCATTTAAAGAATTGATCTACAGTTCTGAAATTCACAACTGCATTGATTGCAAAAGAATGCAGGAAATGTACGAATTGTGGATGGTATTACGATTTCGTAAAATCTAATTCTCTGCGTACTTCTGACCACATGTACAAGGTCGTTAAGGTGGTGGTACCTTAGTTTGGTCTGTAATTGTTTCCTACTCATTTGATCTCACAGTTTGAGTGATGTACATGTTTGACATTCACTTTTCCATCAGCAGCTCATTCAAGTGTCTGACATGTACGGCCGAAGGTACGGAATTGCCCTGCTGGCAAACTAACACTGTATTTCTAAATGAGTATGAATTTTTGGGTTTGTCAAAATTGTTGATTTTCCCAGGACCTGCCTTTCAATGACCGCCTTGAACCTTTTAACCTGACCAATAAACAAAAAATTGTAACGCTGCAAAAACATACCGCAACACATGGACATACATGTACAATGTACATGTATTCAGGCCATTTCTCATCTTACTAAATCTAAGATAACAAACTTTTCTTTTAAGACACAAAAGAGACTGTGTTGGCATCATCGATAGTGTTTTTATCCTTAAGTTATTATGAGTTTTAACCTCACAGACAGAGACAGCAGGTAGGCTTTGTTCTTGCTTCTTGGGAAATCTTACTGGTTACCGAGAACGATGAATGTTCTTCAAGTCCAATCTTTTAACTTTAATTACGGTACGTATCGACAAGACTTTTATTGTCAACTTGCATTATATCGGGTCAAGAAGTTGAACCAAATTTGTTAACTCAGGGCTGCATTCAAGTTATCAAGGCAACTTTTGATGACATTATTCATTTTAAACAATTCAGACATCAACGTACATATTACTTTTTGTAGCAACCATCTTCACTTAAGGAATTTAAAAAACAAAATCCTACTTTATTTTTATGGCCGTTTTGGCAAGTTTATGATCTTGTTGCAATAAATTGTATACATCGCTTTATGGCTTGTGTCTGACGTACATGTACATGTACGTCATCTGTGACTAAAAGACTCGATACCCTAACACCATAACCTTTGACAAACTGACGTCAATCTTTTCTAATCGAAATTCAAGCTTTCTGGTTCTCATTCTCTTGGACTAATATTGACTACGCTGTTTTAAGTGTATTGATCTCGACCTGTGGCTTTTGAATTCAGCAAGTTTTTTTTAGGGATTCCATTAGCAAAATATTTGTCAAGTTCATAACAAGTTAACAGTTTGAGTTAACATGATGAAACAATTTATTTTGTTTTAGCCTGCTACATTGACCAAACATATGTAGCTATCATGTACATGTATATCAAATTACTCAAAGTGCTAACTCCATGTTTCGTAATGCAGAATACTTTGAAGCTAGCCTTCGCGCAGACGTTTTGAATTCTAACTATATGTTCGTATTGGGCTGCGAGGAATTTTGATTAATGAGCTTCAACTGCAGCGCGCTAGTACAAAAATCTGCAGTGTAAACTTAGACGTGTGCATTGTTTTTCCAAAATTGAATACTTTCATGATTAATTATTTTATTATTGGGCATTATCAAGTTTGATAACTCCCCAATGCAGAAAAAATGCATAGCGCACTATAAAAAAAGATTTGCATACATTTGTGCACAAACATGGATTTAGTCTGACGCACCAAGCAAGTTTTATATGGTACAGAGTTAGCACTCTAACAATTGAATATAACATGACAGAACTGCAAGGGGCTGACTTGAACTTGGACTAGACCTTCTTGACTCCGACTGAAACGATTCAAGACTCAGACATTGACTCAACTATGAGGACCTTCAAAAAAACATTAATTCCATAGAAAATCCTACAGAAAAAAATTCTTACACTAAAAAAAAAATGCATGGAGCGTGATGGTCTTCAGTCTAAGGCAATACAATAGTACCCCTAGATTTGGAGAAATACATGTACCTCAACTCAATAAAACTTCTCTTTGAAAATATTTTTAAATTGCATTTGGTGATTTTATAAATTTGATTTTCTCCGATTTGAATGGTTGAAGTGGCGTGGAATT